CGCCCGACCAGGCCCCGGGCCCCGCCGCGCATGCGCCGCCGCGGGCGCAGCTGCATGACGTCACCCGCCGCCACCGCCCCGCGCCCCGCCTACCCGAGCGAATGGGCGGGGCTAATACAGGCCACGCCCCTTTCAGACCACGCCCCCTCGTGTGGGCTTCTTAAAGGGGCAGCGTCCCTTTTTTTCCCGCCCGCAGCGGCGACACCCGCGTGTCCCCCACAGTGTCACCCCACCGCCCCCCCACAGTGTCACCCCATCCGTAGGCAATGTCACTCCATCCATGGCCCCAGCAGTGTCGCGCAGCCCTGTCTCCAGCTGTGTCCCACCCASAGTCACGTCCCCCACCYGTGTCCCCTGTCCCCAGCCCTGTCGCCCCCAGCTGTCACCCCTGTCCCCAGTCATGCCCCCCAGTTGTGTCCCCCAATTGCAGCCATGTCCTCAAGCCGTCCCCTATCCCTGCTCGTGTTCCCTGTCCCCAGCTGTGTCCCCTCAGCTGTGTCCTGTATCCATGGCGGTGTCCCTTCTTTCCAGCTGTGTCCCCAGATGTGACCCCTATCCACAGCCGTGTCCCCTGCTCCCAGCCATGTCCCAGCTGTGATCTACATCCATAGCTGTGTCCGTAGCTGTGCCCTCATCCACATCCCGTGTCCCGTGTCCCCAGCCCTGTCCCCAGCCGTGTCCCGTGTCCCCAGCCGTCCGTCCGCTGAAGCCACACGTGGCAGGGGGTGACACGTCCTCACCGTGTGACCCCCACGGGGGACCGGCTTCCTCATCGCCTCCAAACCCGCATCCTCCCCCGCCTCTGTCACCTCCCGGGGGTGCCCGGGGGCCACCCCCAGCTGCCGCCTTCCGCGGGTCCGGTGTCCGGGGTGTCCCAGGTGAAGGGGTGGCTCCACCTCGTCCCTCCCCTCGGCGCCTTCCTTGTGCCCGTCACTGGGGATTAGCGCAGGGACAGCCCCGGGCTTGGGGACAGGCACAGGGGACAGGGCCAGCCGCCACCTCGCCTGGATGTAGGAGGCCTGGCCGGGGGCGAGGAGCGAGGGTGACATCGCCCATCCCTGCGCTGGGCGAGGACGGGGACCCCCCCGCGCCCCCCCTGCCCTCGGGGGCACCATGAAGGACCGGCTGGAGCAGCTCAAGGCGGTGAGGGACCCCCGGCGTGGGSAGGGGACAGGGACACCCYCTGGGGGCCCCTCAGGAGATGGGTGACACGGGGATGGGGGTCCCCGAGACCCCACGCCATGGCGGGTGGGGGCTTCACGGGGATATGGGGCCGCAAAAACCAAACCCGCGGTCACGGGGTGGATGTCAGGATGTCACCGAAATGTCACCCCGCGGTGCTTGGGGTGTCGCGGGGACAGGGGGACCTCAGACCTCATCACACGGTGGGTTGGGGTCTTGGGGACACCCCAGTCCCGGGTGGGCGGGGACACCACAGGCCCCACCCCAGGGTGCGCGGGGGTGTCACGGGGGTCATCCCATGGCAGATAGGGGACCCTGCGCCCCTCTATGATGGGGGTGACAGGTGGGAGGGGCCGGGAGGGTSATCCCGGTGCGGTTTGGGGTACAGCGGGGGTTTTAGGGTGATGTGATCCCCCCTAATGGACTCCTGTCCCCCCCCCGACGCCGTGGGGTGTAATGGGGAGACACCAGCCCCACCCGGGCTGTGGGGGTGGGTGTCCATCCCGCGGGGGGGTGGCAGTGGATTTGGGGTGCCCGCACCCCGTCCTGCACCCCACACTTCCCCATGTTCCCGCCACCAGCGCTTCCTTCTCCCTTTTCCCGCTGCACCGTGGGGCCCCGCTTCCCCTCGCTCCTGGGGTCACCCCCCACTCCCCAGCATCGCCTCCCCATGGATTGTGGGGGTCCCTGCAGCCCCCCAACTCGCGGCTGGGCCCCCAGCCGTGGCAGGGAGGCTTGGCAGGGATTTACCAGGATTATGGAGCCATCAGATAAAGCCCTCAGGGGGGAGCGAAGGGATTAATTTTATTTTTACTCCAGCAGCAGGAGGAGGGGGGTGGAGGGTCCCAGCYTGGGGTCTGTCCCCCTCCCCAGGACACCCCAACAACACCGCCGGGGTGCTGGTGGAGCTGAGGGGGTCAGGGGAGGTGGAAGGGCTGGGATTGGGTTTTGGGAAGGGCTGGATTTGGGAGCACGTGGGTGGGGGCCCGGGCATGACACCAGGGTGAAGGGCACCAGCCACCTTTGTGCCACCCAGGGCTGCCCCAGACCTGCTGCTGGGCCACGGTTTGGGACACAAACCCTCTCCGATCCCCATCCCATCGCTGTCCCTGTCCCCTCCCTCTGGCCAAGCCCAGCAATCCTTTAATTCCTGGCCGTGCGTGGCCAGATGTGAACTGGGCTCGGCCCCCCCGGCTCTCCCCCGCTGCAGATGTCCCCCCCTGTGCCACCACATCCCCATGGCCACTTCCCCCGTGTCTCTTGTTACCCCCGGGGGGGCCCTGGGAGGCAGTGGCAGGGCAGAGGTTCCTCCTCCCTGAGCGCYGTGTCCCAACAGAAGCAGGATGCGGACGATGAGGAGGAGCTGGAGATCGCTGTGGACAACACGGCGTTCATGGATGAGTTCTTCTCGGAGGTGAGAGAGGACTGGCAGCAGGGCTGGGGGGTGCAGGACTGCCTCCTAATCCCCCCAAAATCCTCCCGGGCGTGCCCAGATCGAGGAGACCCGGCAGAACATCGACAAGATCTCGGAGAAYGTGGAGGAAGCCAAGAAGCTCTACAGCATCATCCTCTCAGCCCCCATCCCGGAGCAGAGTGAGTGCRGTCACRGTGTCCCCACACCCTTCCYGGGTCATGGGGACCCTCCYTGGGGACATTCCCGAGGTGGCTCACACCCCTGATCCCACAGAGACCAAAGATGACCTGGAGCAGCTGACGGCAGAGATCAAGAAAATGGCCAACAGTGTCCGTAACAAGCTGAAGAGTGAGTGGCCCCGTCCTCAACCCCACGTCACGGGTGGCCCTGTCCCTGTGGGGACACTGGGATCATGGGGACTGGCAGTGGAGATGGTTCCTGATGGCTTGGGGTCTGGCTGTCTCCAGGTATGGAGAGGAACATCGAGCAGGACGAGGCACGATCCTCCGCCGACCTCCGGATACGCAAGTCCCAGGTGAGCTCCGGGAACAGGGCTGTCCCCATCCAGCATCCCCATGTCACATCCCATGTCCCCCATGGGCTGGGGATGTGTCATGTCCAGGTTTCCCCAAGCCTTGTGTCTTTAACACTTTGTCCTGTCCCCTCAGGGCTGGGACATGCTACATCCTGGGTSCCCTGGGTTTCATGCCACTGTCTCCACTCCCAGTGCTTTGTCCTAAATCCCTGGATCGGGGATATGCCATGCCCGGAGTGACTGGTCTGACTGGTCACYGATCTGTTCCCATCCCCAGCACCCCATTTTGTCCCCCAGGCAGTGTCAGACCTCTGTCCTTGTTCCTGCCCCTGTGAAAATGGCCCTTAGGGACACGCCATGCCTGGGGTGTTCCGTGTCCTCACCCCCAGCACTGGGTCCAGTCCCCCAGGGTTGGGACTTGTTGGGCTGTCCCCATTCCCACRTCCCTGTCCCCATCCTCACATCCCTGTCCTTGTCCCCAGCACTCGGTCCTGTCCCGCAAGTTCGTGGATGTCATGACCAAGTACAACGAGGCGCAGGTGGATTTCCGGGAGCGCAGCAAGGGCCGGATCCAGCGCCAGCTGGAAATCAGTGCGTGACCGTGCCCCACGGGTGGGGTGGGTGGAGCCTGGCCCACCAAACCACACCCCTTTTGTCAAGTGGGAGGAGCCAACCCTTATAACCCCTCCCCTCTGGCCAAGTTTGGTTATGTGGGTGGAGCCAGATCACACAGACTCCACCCATTTTTCGGAGTGGGCGTGGTCTGACCCCACCCTGCTCCACGTGCCTGCAGCCGGCAAGAACACGACAGATGAGGAGCTGGAGGAAATGCTGGAGAGCGGGAACCCCTCCATCTTCACCTCGGGGGTGAGCCCTGACACTCCGGGGGACACAGCGGGGACACAGGGCCACGCCTCCCCGCTGACACCCCCCTGTCCCCGCAGATCATGGACTCGCAGATCTCGAAGCAGGCGCTGAGCGAGATCGAGGGGCGGCACAAGGACATTGTGCGCCTGGAGAGCAGCATCAAGGAGCTCCACGACATGTTCGTGGACATCGCCATGCTGGTGGAGAACCAGGTACGGGGACACGCAGGGAGCTGCCCGTGGGGACAYGGAGATGGGCAGGGACCTAAATATGGGGTCACAGGGACAGGTCATGGGGTCACAGGGATGAACAGGGACCTGTGGATGGGGTGAAGAGGGACAAGACAGGGTGACCAGGGACAATCAGGGACCTGTGTGTGGGGTCAYAGGAGCACTGAGTGGCCCAGGGACCCGCACAAGGGGACCCAGGCATGGAGCAATGTGGGGCAGGGTGATGACCACCGCACACGGTGTCCCCATGGGGCCACCCAGCACCCCGCAGTGGCCTGGAGAGGACACAGGAGTGCCCCCCACCCTGCGGTGGTGCCGTCCCCTCTCTCAGCCCCTCTCTGTCCCCCCATGCTGCGCGAGGAGCCGCCGCGTGCCCCGGGAACGGGTGAGTACCCGCGTGTGCAGCTGCGCCACGCGCTGTGGGRCCGTGCCACCCTGTCCCCACCAACCCTGTCCCCTCTCCCGCAGGGTGGGCTGCTGGATAATGTGGAGAGGAGCACGGAGGCGAGCCGGTGCCAGGGCCAGGCGTGCCAGGTGGGTGGGTGCCAGCACCCCGGGGTGCTCTCAGAGTCCTTCCCCGCTCTCCGTGTCCCCCGGGTGCTCCGTAGGGAGCCATGATCGACCGCATAGAGAACAACATGGACCAGTCCGTCGGATTCGTGGAACGGGCCGTGGCTGACACCAAAAAGGCTGTGAAGTACCAAAGTGAGGCCAGGAGGGTGAGACAGATTGACAGCCCTAGTGTCCCCTCCGTAGCCCCCCAATGTCCCCTCTGTAGCCTCCCAATGTCCCCTCTGTAGCCCCTAATGTCCCCTCTGTAGCCTCCCAATGTCCCCTCCGTAGCCCCCAGCATCCCAGAGGTAGCCCCAGTATCCCCCTCAATGTGCTGTCACATATCCCAGTGTTCCCAGCATCTCCCCACACCCTCCAGCAGCCCTGAGAGCCCTCTGTGTCCCTCAACCACCCCTCATGTCCCAAAGAGTGCCCCAATGGCTCCCATCCACCCTCAGTATCTCCCCATATCCCCAWATAGCCCAGTCACCTCCTGTCCCACTCAACCACCCCTCGTGTTCCCCAGCTGACCCCAATGACTCCCACCTCCCCCCAGTGACCCCATGGGGGGTTGKCACCKCTGTCCCTCWCWGTCCCTCTCTGTCCCACTGGGAACCCTGAGTCCCCTCCCACCCTCAGGTGTGATGAGCTGGTGAGGGCTCAGCCCCTCCTGCCCTGTCCCTGGGATCAGCTGCATCTCTGGCTCTTCAGGGCCTCTCGGTGTCCCCACGTGCCCCCCACATGGGACAGGTGTCACAGCTCCCCCATCTCACCCCTGTCCCCCCCAGAAGCTGCTGATTTTGGTGGCAGTGGCCGTGCTCTTGCTGGGGACAGTTGCCCTCATCATTGGACTCTCGGTGGGGCTGAAAACGAAATAGCCACTGGGTCAGGGGTCTGTAAGTGTTGGGGGGCAGGGGACACCCAYTGTGGGGACATGGAGCCCTGAGGGGTTCCTAATGTCATCTCCAGCTTTGGGGGCTCCAGTGCTTTGGGGTTTGGGGCTGTTAAGGGGCTGGGGGTGTGCTGGTCTTTAGTCTCCTCAGGTTTGTTGTGCTCGGGGTCTGTTTTTGGAGTTTGCAGTATTTGGAATACGCATTTTTTGAGGGTCTGCAGTGTTCGGGGGTCTGTGATGCTCAGGGGTCTCTGGTGCTCAGAGGTCTGTGCTGTTTGGGGTCTGCAGTGCTTTGGGTCTGCGTTGCTCTGGGGTCTGCGGTTTTGGGGGCCTGTGATGCTCAGGGTCTGTGCTGCTCAGGGCTCTGGATTTCGGCTCTTTCCCACACCCATCTCTGCCATCCCTGCTCCCTCCTTCCTGCTGCAGCCCCATTCCTTTCCCTGCCGGTGCCTCCAACTCCCCTTTCCCTTCTCCAGACGTTCCCGACCGTCCCAGCGGTGTCACCTCCAGGCGGGATCCTCCCGGCACCGATCCCGGACCCCTCCTCTCCCTGCTTCTCCCGGATCTGCTGCTCCCAATCCTCCGTGTCCCGGTTCCCACCAGTTTGGCACGGCTGCCTTTCCCGCCCATCCGGGTGGCCCCGCTCTCCTGCTGGTCCCCAGGACCTGCCCCTCGTGTCCCCATGGGAAGTGGACAGCATTCCATCCGTGGGGACGTGGCTGCTGATGTCACAGCCCCGGCGAGGGGTGACAAGGACAYAAATACGAGGGCTGGACTCTCACCYGTGTGGGCATYYGGGTGGCATGAGGGMGGGAATAGGGACAGAACAMGTGGTTTGCTGGCACCCTGTCCCCTTTTAGCTTTGATGTCTGGGCGGGTGGATGTGTTCACCATGGATATTTAATTCCCTTTGTAATAAAATCCCGGCTGATCCCGCCCTTGCCTCCTCTCCGTGCTGGCACCGGGAACACACAAAGCCACCGGCATGGCTCCGGCCTGGCTCACGGTGTCCGGGAGTCTGGGGGCTGGACCGGGAATCTGGGCCCCGTTTCCCGGTGCTGTAGGACACGAAGGGTGAGCATGGGGCTGGGGACACCCCCAGTCCTTGGGCCCTGCCCACACTGTCCCCCCCATCAAGGTTTTGGGTAAGTCACAGCATTTGGTCATCTGTCCCAGGGGACACAGTCACTGTCACCTGCCTGTGCTACACGCAACCAGCTCCCACCTGCCCCGCTCCTTCCCTGTCCCCCCTCAGCCCCTGTCCTTGTTCCTTGTCCCTCACCCTACCCCTGTCCCTTCTCCTCCCTCCACAGCCCCTGCCCTTGTTCTCTGCCTCCCTCCCCATTCCTTGTCCCCTTCCCCAGCCCATCCCTTCTTCCCAGCCCCATCCTTATCCCGTCCTCCTCCCCAGCCCATTCCCTGTCCCTGTCCCTGTCCCTGTCGCCCTCCCCAGCTGTGTCCCTGTCCCTGTCCCCTCCCCAGCTGTGTCCCTGTCTCACATTCCCCGTCTCCCCGAGCAGAAGAAGATCATGATCATGTTGTGCTGCATCATCCTCGCCATCATCCTGGCTGCCAGCATCGGGAGCATCTTCGCCTGAGCCCTCCACCCGCTGCCCTCCAGGTGACAGGGACAGGGCTKGGGGTGGCACAGGGGGTCCCTGGTACCCCCCAATCCCAGGGAGGGGGTTTGGGCCTTGGCAGGGTTGGATTCACTCGGTGGGCGTCCCCAGGTTGCCACGCTGGGGAGGGATGGGGACAGTGACAGCACTGGGAGCCGTGTCCCCTTCCTTGATGTCACCTCMTTTTCCTCCCCACCACAGGTGGCCTTTCCCCCTCCTGCCCCCCGCCCGGATGATCCATGGGAGAGACCCCGGCCGAGCCCTGATCCCCGGAGCCCCGAGGACATCCCACGTGTCCCTGGAGGAGTGGAGCCCACCTGCCGTGCTCCCCCCTCCCCTCCCAGCGCCAAGGTCCCCTCGCTCCTCCTCCTCCTCCACTCGGGTGACAGTCGGTGGCCGCTGTGACAAGCAGCCCCTCCTCAGTGGCACGGAGYGGCCGGAGGGGCCGTGTCCCTCTCTGAGGGGGACAAAGGGCTCTGCCTTGCCGGGGCAGCCGGAGGAGCCTCTCCCTGTGCTTGGAGCTCCTTGGATGTGCAGCCACCCATGCTGGAGCCTTCCTCCTCAATAAAGAGCTCACCCACACTCTGCCTCGCGGCTTCATCCTCACCCATGGATCCCCCAGGATGCTTCCAACTCCATAACCCATTTTGGGATAAAGAGCCTCGTGCCTCAAACCCTGATCCATTTATCTCCCAACTCCAAATCCCCAAACTCCAAACTCTGGGATGAAGAGCCTCCTGCCTCAAACCCTGATCCATTCAAGCCCAGGATGATCCCAGCCCTGCATTCCCAGCTCCAAAACCCACTCTGGGCTCTTGTGGAAAAGTTTAATTCCAAAAGGAATCAAATCCAGCCACTCCTCACACTCTGTGCTTTAAGAAAAACTTGCCCCAGTAGCGTCCCTTGAGCTCCAGGTCRTAGGGGCTCAGGTATTTCCTCATCCCCAACATATTGGAGGCCACCACGCGCTCAAAAGTCCAGGGATTTTGGTTGTCCAGCCTCTTCCTCTCCTCTTCCTGCCGCATCTCCTGGAGGCTCTCCCGGCTGACAGCAATGGCTGGGAAGGGCAGTTTTTGGGCCACCCGGGTGAGGAAGGGCTTGACCTCTCCGAATTCACAGTGCCCACCCACCTCCACCACCAGCCTCCCRCTCTTCACCGCTGTCACGTAGTGGTCGATGGGGCCCTTGCCGCCCCCCATCCGGTGTCCCAGGCTTTTCCTCGTCACCGACTTGTAGGGGGCAGGCACACGCCACACGGCGAACATGGATTTGGGGTCGATGCTGCGGCCGATGGTCAGGCGGATCATCTCGAAGTGGCCCCAGTGCAGGTACCCCCCGCCCAAAGCCTGTGSGGGGACAGGGTGGGACAGCTCAGGGACACRGGGATRGGCACGGAGGGTCCCGTGTCCCGCCCAGCATCTGGAATGCCGCCCCTCCATCTGTTCGCTGCCTGTTCCCGCTCACCAGGATCCCGTACTGGCCCTGGGTGAAGTCAGTGGCCACCTGGGACGGCCCACGGATGTCACGGAGCCGCCGGGGCTCACGCCGGACCTTGGGCACCGCCGGCACCTTGTCCATGAACTTSAGCTTCGGCCTCTCCGGGAAGGTGATCCCTGCCGGGGGACACCGTGTGAGGATCACCGGGATCCTCGGGAACAGAGCAGCGTGTACCCCGCCACACCCGCGGGGCGCTCCCGCTGTCCRTCCCCCTCACCGCTGTAATCCGGAGGCAGCGCGAACTTCTTGAGTCCCGCCCGGGGAACGGCGACGCCGCCGGGACCTGAGAACAGAGCGGGGAGGGGTCACCGCCGTGTCAGCGCCCGGGAGAGGCAGAATGATCCCGAAGTGCTTTCCGTTCCCGAACTCAACATCGCCCCAGGCCACCACAGCCCAGTCGGGAATCCCACCCAGCCGCTGCTGTCAGCTCTTCCACCCCCCGGGCTCCAGGCGCTTGAGAAGGTCCCCCCGGCCCTCCGAACCACCCACAAAGCACGGGCGACCCYTCGAAGGGCGGCCGGGCCCCCCTGACCTGCCCCGGCCCGGAGCGGCCCCGGGAGCCGCCATCGCCACATCGCCGGGACGCGCCGGAAGTGCCGCCACACGGTCCGTCCGCAAACAAGCGCCGCCCGTGCTCCGGCCGGGAACCGCGGCGGGAACATTAGTTCCGTCGGGAAMCGCGGCGCTTATCGTTCCCACCCCCCCACCGGGCAGGGGTGGCGGGCGGCGGGACCCCCTCGAGGGTCCTTTAGGGGCGTCAGAAAGTGCTGCAAGTGGGGCTGGATGTACTCCCGGCCTTTGCGTTGGGCCGGTGCACCGGTTTTGTGGGGATGGGGTGAATGTTCTTCCCCGTCGCGCTGCGTTTGGATTCGGGATGGGCGACCTGCGGCTCTGACGCCACARAGGCGGTGAGGCAGGGCTGTGACATCACACAGGTGTCCTCGCYTGCACCACTGTGACATCAGCACCGTGTCTCTACAGGACTCCTATCATCACCCCCTGGCTCCCAGTGCAGCCACCATGGGATGTGGGTGAAGCCATGAGTTTCCTGCTCCCCACACTTGTGCTGGTGGTGGCCACCACGGCCGTCCTGCTGGCCAAGCGCATTTGGAAGACATGGAAGCACCCCAGGAACCAGGCCACGGGATTCCAGTGCAGCCGAGCAGCCCCAGTGGAGACCCCTCCCCACGGCCCCGCTGCCCCCGGCAGCCGCCTGTACATCCCCTGCGGCTGCAGCCCTTGCTGCACCCCCTGTGCGACAGCGGCCCAGGAGCTGCAGGACCTGGTGACCTCGCTGTGGCCHGGGATGTCCTTCCCACAGGACTCAGAGATGTGGCGGCTGTCGTGGGAGGACCTGGAGCAGCTGCTGGAACGAGGCCACCTGCCCTGCTGCACCTCCTCCTGCTCCTCCGAGAGCCYCTGTCCTTCCCAGAGCCCCAGCGAGGGCTGCCCGGCTCCGGATGGAGAGGATCCCACGGACAAATCCTGCTGCTCCCTCGAAGCTGCGGGCCTGAAGAGAAACTGCTCCTCCTTGAGCATGCACGTGGCCAAGAAGAGCCTGGAAGTGAAGCTGGGAGCCCAGCCCGTTGCTGTGAGGCGCTCCCAGGAGCAGCTGGTGCAGCAAGAAGCCTCATCGCACTCCTCCGAGAGCCTCCCGCCCTGCTCCAGCCTCAGCTCCTGCCACACTCTGGACGGAGAGGACGCCACCGACAGCTCGGCGTGCTCGCTGGCATCCTCGGGGATCAGCGGAACCCGCTCGGCCCTCAGGATGCACGTGGCCAAGAAGAGCCTGGAGGTGAAGATGGGRGCCCGGCCTGCTCCGGTGAGGAGCTCCCAGCAGCAGCTGGAGCAGCGGGAAGCGTCCCGGAGCCACCGCTGCCCCATGCACGGCTCCCCCGATGCCACCGTGCCCCCAAACGGGAACAGCCAGCCCTCCAAATCAGAGAGGATCCTCCAGAGGCAGAGAGAGCTGGAGTTCCCCTATATCCGGGGAGCTCCTCCGAGGCGCATGAGGCTCCTGTTAGCAGCTCAGATACTTCTGAAGATGCTCTGTTTTAAATAAATCAGCATTTCCCCCCAAGAACTGAGTTTGGGATGGGAACCTATGGGTTCCTTTCTTCCCGAGAGCTGGGCACAGCGCTGGGTTTGGATTCGGGATGGTTTGGTCCCTCCTCAGTGAACTTGCAGTGTCCCCTACAACCCCCTGATGGCTCCTCCTACGCTGGGTACGGGGGGAAAGGACCTTGGAGGTCCCCAAATCTCTGTCAGTGCCCTCCTTGTGCTCGCCCTGCCAGTCTCTGTCACCTGTGGCCACCATGGCTCTCGGTGACAGTGCCAGCCGCTCTCTGGGAAGCCGAGTGGGGAGCTGACCCTGGAGCTGACCAGCACTGATGGGGATGAACACCACCCTCTTGAGCTGTGGGACCACTCTGGAGGTGGGAAAAGGCCCCACATGTCCCTGAAGGAGATGTGTAGRGCAGGAGTGAGGGGACCCTGTCATCCCCAGGGGAGCAGGGGACACCACTCTGAGCTGGGTGACACCYCCAGCCCCAATTCCACTCCATTCCACAGCTCCTCCAGGACAGCACCCGCTRCAGGAATGTCCTCTGCTTGTCTGGAGCACTCGTGGCTCATGCCAGGCCCTTCTGCCTCCCTGAGGAAATGGGGAGTTCCTCCCTGAGCCCTGGATTCCCCTCGGGAGCTGCGGCTCTGGGTCTCACGTGCCCTGTGAACCCCTTGGGATCTCTCCATAAGGGATTCCCAGCAGGGGAGTGTGGKCTTGTCTGAATCAGGGCAAGGTTCAGGAGTGTCCTTCATGAATTTTGGGGTACAGGGGGTGTACAGTACCGGGGTGTTCATTATTCCCTGATTTTGGGTTTAATCCCCTGCCTGTAGCCCATGGCTCCTCCTCACGGCTGGACACCCTAAAAGTGGGGGATGAAGCCAGTGCAGGGGAAAGTGGAYRGGGTCAGTRTGGGGGRWYCCCYYC